TTGTGGTTTCTGTTCAGAGTTCATCAATAGCGGTGCTCTCAAGAAATTTGGGAGGCAAAAGAGAAAGAGCCCTTTATTCTCTGAAAGCCATTGCAGGCAGATCAAACAGCAAAAGCCAGATCTGAAATTTGGAAGCACTCCTGGAAATCATCAGCAGTAGTTTCTGAAGACATTATGAGAGAAAATAAAGAAGTATAGATAAGTAATTGTGTATGTTCATGAAAGCTAAGTGTCCATGTGGCATAGTGGAAAGAACATCATAGAATATAGATTTTAGTTCATGCTCTGTCACTCTGTCACTGTCCAGGTGACTCTAGATAAGTTTTTTGAAGAGTCTTTAACTTCTCTCATCTTAAAATGAAGAAGTTTTGCTATAAGAATGATATGGAGCATGTGAAATTGCCATAAAATAAATGGTATCCACTTTGCTACAATTCCCTTGGCTATAGTTTAAGTCCTGCTCTCTTCCTGAGCCTCTAGGCTGACATCTCATAATGATTCCAGAAGACTTCTGGTAGGAATTCGCTTAATGAATTTTGTTCAAGCTTAACACTTTTATCAGTTTTAAGCTTATTTAAACTACATGGTTTCGTTTCTTTCACTCTGAAACCACACTTCCCTAAGCTCAGTACAATGTGCGGTCATGTTTTCAAAGTATCACTTAAAATAAGCTCACATTTACTTTTCTCTTAACTGGCATTTTTTGTGTCTTTTAAGTAAGACATGGATCACAAGGAAAGGGTGAATTGTTAGTGTTGCTTCAGGCAGACAGCTGAGCTTGCAAGAAAACTAGTGACTCGTCTTTTGTGTGTACTCTGCCCTCTCCACTTCCCTAACTGTCCAAGGAGTGTGACTTTTAGGGCCTAGTGTACACTTTCCTGTCTTTTAGTATGCTTTGTAATTTCATGTTGAAAGTGAGAAATGATATATCAGGTAATAGGAACTGAGGTAATTAGGCCTCAGGGTGACATTTCATGATAACCTGGCTAGGAGTTCGACTGTGTTTAATGTTTGCTGTAGCTGTGGCTGTCAGAAGTGAAAATTTCCTCTAGTGTCCTTATTTTTGTCTCCTCTGTTGTCATGTGAATTTCTCTACTAACTTCCTTTAAAAAACAACTTTGCAACCCTGTCAGCTCTAATCTACTGTCATCATACTGGAGCCCTCTTAATGGGGTGGTAAGTTATGAGGAAGGGGAAATGTTCTATAATTTTGGGATTAAATTTCAGTCCTTTAGTGGGCCCAAGTCCCTGGGCTGTGACTTTCACAGTTCCTCTTTTCTTCACCGCCCCCATTAGGGAGGACAAGACTGAAGCTGGAAGTGGGTAACTACCCTTCAGCTGCCTCAGTGCGATGAGTCTTTTTACCGGGGAGGAAGACATTCTTATGGAGAATGCTCTGGTTGTATTTAAGTCATGACTTTTCTTCTTCCCTCTATCAGAGGCACGTGATGATTTTTTTTTTTTTTTGGCTCTTCACTGTAAGGACCTGGTGTGATTTCTGAAGATAAAGTCTACAAAAGTTTGGGATCCCCCTAAGACTGCAGCCCCCCAGGAGTCTCCCACTCTTCACATTAATCCTCACTCAGCCTTGAGCAATTCAGCAAAAATGATTATTTAAGTGTTCTCACCAGTTTATGCTCTGTCAGCAGCTTCTGCTCCAGGTAAACTGACCTTACCTGTGAGTCTCTGTAGTCACTTCTCAAAGATTTGGGTGGTAGTTTGCTCTGAGACCCCAATTCTCTAATGGCTCCAAGAAAAATAGTTGCTTTTCAGTTTGTTAAGCTAGTTTTTCTTGTTATATGGAAGTGAATGATGACTTCCAAGCTCTTCAGATGTTGGGGCTGGAAGTAGAAGTCTTCTATGTACTGTCTTTTAGAAACCAAAATTCTGGTAAAGTACACTGATTCTCAAAGAAAAATAAATACTCATATTGGTCCCTCCACTTCTCTGAGTGTTAATGTATTGTTTTATTATAATTTTCTGTCAAGACAGAAACATAAATTTAGACCTAAATTCTGTAGGTCTATAATTTCTAACCAACTTTCTAAATATGATGTATTTGAAAATTTAAAAAATCCTACAGAAATACTAAAAGTTTAATAAAAAACATCAATATAAAATTGTACGGGTGAACCAAAACATTTTCTTTCTTTTTTTTTTAAGGTGAGGCAACCTTTGGTTGACTTTGCAGATTACAAGGAACTTGTCAGCTTACAATCCCTTATTTTTTTATTTTTTAAGCCTACAGCACCTGGTCTTCCTAGGTGGTTTCCCATCCAAGTGCTAACCAGGCCTGAACCTGCTTAGTTTCTGAGATCAGACGGAATCCGGCTTGTTCAGGGTGACATGGCCGTAGACTGAACCAAAACATTTTTGATAGGCTTAATAGAAGGAAGATATTGCTTAGTTCTGATACTATATTTAGTTTGTTTTTGTATTTTAACTTTAATAATATTTTTATAGGAAACTTCTATTCATATAAGATTATATAAAATGTTACTGATAACATCAAGGTTTTTCTATTTATAATCATCAAATAAAAGCTCTGCTAGAATATCGATATCAATTTTAATGACTTATATTTTGATAGTTATATAAATGTCTTCTATTCACATAGATGTGTTCATTATAGCATTAATAAAATTCGTATTTAAATCACTAGTTATTGCTTTGTTCAGAATATTAAAAAACATTATCCGCAAATTTATCACATAAATATTTGGTATCATTAGCTTATAATTAATGACCTGTTGCAATTTTAAACATACAAAAGTATCTCTTAATGAGGGTAAATATATCTTCCTTTGAGTTCAGCATGCATGCTTTCACTACAGTAAGCCCTATGAGACTCAAGTCAGTTCTTCAAACTCATTTTTCTATTTGAGTTATGAAACATATTTGCACACTGGGCATAATGTCATAAATAGCCTTCATTCTAGACACATATGTCCGTAGGCAACAAAAATAAAGTCATTGGACTCCCATGGCAGTAACTGATAGTAAAACTACTATTCAGATGATCTGGAATGTGCCCATGTTTGTGGTTTGTTTTTCAATATAACATTTCTGATGGAGACCCCTGATAATATATACACTAATCTTAAATTGAAAAAAATGTATATTTTGTCAAGTTTTGAAATCTGACTTAACTGGGTTTGCATACCAGCTCCAATGCCTCATAGCTCCATGATCTTGACACATTCGCTTAATATCTCTAAACCTCATTTTCTTAATCAGGAAAATGACCTGGCAAAGTTGCTGTGAAATCAAATGAAACAATGACTATAAAGTCTCAACTCCTGAGACATTTCCTCTGTTCTTTCAATTACTCATTAGATTAACTTGAATATATTTTCTATTCTTAGTAAAGCATCCTACATGTAGTAAGACCTAACAGATAATCATGTGATATAATACATTATATGTTATTTATAAACACACACAAAGAGACAGGGGGCTTTTTTTTTAATGAACAACTAGATTTTTGAAGAATGTGGAAGTAATCATATAGAGAAGTGGTTAGCATTGTGGAAGTAAAGATATATACATAACAATATTACAGAGACATTCTAGAAATATAATCTACTCTGACAGAAATAAACCTCATTAGGATAGAGTTTTAGAAAGTTGGTGTCTTAGCTTGTTATTCCCAGTGTGATTTTCCTAATCATGTCGTATTGACAAAAGTATTCACATTTAAAGATGTTTAAACTCCAGATTTTTTAAAGACCCCCAAAAGACCATATTTTGCAAGATATATATATATGTGTATAATGTATATATAAACAATTATAAAGGAAATAGAGCGAGTCCTGATGTTAGTCTAAGTTTCTCTTCACTAAGAATTTGGTGATAAACAGTGTGGTTAAGAAATGGTCTAATAACTTTCATGCAGGTCCAGCCTGCATCCACCTTAGTAATCTTGTCTAAAGCTACTTGGCTATAACTCTCACTGCTGCTTCAGTGCCTCTGTTACTATGACCATTACTGTTAATCTTTAAGAATGTCTGGGTGATACTGTTACTTTCTGACTCTCAAACGCAGTACCCTGTTCCTGTATTCTTTCTACCAGGCATATTGTTTTCTGAAATAATAGTGTTCTCTGGTGCTTGAGCACATAGCAAAATTATTTTGGCCATTTATGATAGGAAATCTCATTCCTCCCTGTTTAGAGTACTAAGAAGTGCCTATGGAATATAAACCAAACACCTTCCCCCAGAAGAATTAGATCTAAAATTTAGCTCATTAATGTAAAGTATGTAAAATGCTTTTTATGTGCATTATACTGGAATTTGTTGAATGTGATCAAATAAATGAGATGAGAGGTGTAAACTCTGACAAGGTGGTAGGTGAAGGACATTTCTTTCCTCTGACTCCATGCCTGAGACTCCTTTCCTCCACTCTACTTCTGGGGAAAGAAACAACTATTAGGTGCTCAAAAGAGATTTGTAGATAATGCTAACATCAGTATAGATAGAGCTGAAGTGAGCATTATTAGATTATTACTTTTACTTAGTAAGTATCCATATTGTTTCCTCGTGTTTTGTGTTTGAAGCTAGAGATAAGAGATATGGGAAAAAAGATTAAGAAAAACAAATCACTTAAACATGGAATTTTTCCTCAAACTTATTTAGTAAAAGAGAAGAGATAATGAGAATCAATATAAGATAATGAGATTAATAGAAGATAATAAGTAATGGGAACATATAGAAGGCATATATATCTTATAAAAAGAGAAAAAGGAATCTGTCACATATTATGTACCTTATTATAATAACCTCGTTTCTTTTTCTCTTTTTCTTTTGTAATGTTCTAGATGGAAAGAGGAATGTTATCAGACAAATTTAGATTTTGCAAACTTGTGCTCTTGAGAGAGTACTATTGAAACACATTGTTAAGAAAGATTTTCAACACTCAGTATGTCATTTCCTTTCTTCATGTATCAGATGCTGAAATACTATGTAATAAAGATTTTAGGTTTCAATTGTAAAGAGAAGGAAGTGGATGAATCAGTTCAGCCGTCTTTAGGACAAACGGTAAAATATGATTATTTTAATGTTTTTCCAAAATTTTTTCTATCGATTGTATGTGTCTACTTTCTGTGTGAATCTGTAATATATTCAATATTTTGTGGTAGAATTTTTAAATCCTATTTCTAATAATTTGGTTGGGTTGTTTCAATGTTAAAAAATAGACAATTTTGTTTTTGTTAGGTTTTCTGTGAATGTAAAATGTGTATGTTCATAGGTACACATGAAATATACTAAATATTTTGTAGGTTAAACTAACAATAAATTTTTGGCATATAATTGTGCTTATTTTGATTTAAAATAATGGCTTTAAAAGATGAAAAAATAAAAATATTGGTTTTATTCACAATATGATTAAACATATTTTAATTAGTTTAATTTCCTTGATTTTCATATTATACATTTGGTTTTAACTTAATACATTTCATTGCCTTTACTTGCTAGTATAGGAAATATTGATTGTGCATCTATATATGCACATCACTGAACTATGTGAGGAAGAGATACAAAAAGTAAAATACAGTCACTGTCTTTAGAAAGTTCATGATATAAATCACATATATAATTTGAGTGTCTTAATATAATATAAAATAATATGTAAATATATAATTTGAGTATCTTAAGTAGTGTAAAAGTGCTGTAGATAACTACTATGGAAATATAGGAAAGGTCAAAATCACTTCAAAAGAAGAAGGGACTATTAAACCAATCTTCACGAATTTGTTAGAATTTAGGTTCATCTTGAAGAATGGGTAAGATTTATTCAGCATAGAATGGGGGTCAGCATCTCATTGGCCATGAGAGAATAGTGATGGAAAAGTCATAGAAATCTAATTTTAAATGTTTTAAGAAGTAGTTAGGAGCCAATAATCAGGAAGTACATTGCCTACTTTCAAATCCAAGCTTCCCTGTTCCCTAGTTCTGTAACATTAAATATTTTAGGTCTTGGTTTCCTAGCCTTGTAAAATGGAGACAGTACTGCTATATACCTCATGGAGATGCTGTGAAGATAAAATAAGTTCATATTTAAAAACTGGTATTTAAAAATAATGATGATTCTTTTATTGATGGTTGCCTGTATACCAGTCAATTTATAAGAATTATTTTTAATCCTCATAATCATTCTTTAAATTGATATTGTGATCATATTTTACATATATAAAGAAACTGCTATCACATATGTTATTTGTCAAAGGTCATATAGCTAGGAAATGGCACAGCCAATAGTAAAACCTAGACTTCAGATTCAAAAATTGTTGTTCTCTCTCCCTCGCTACCAAGAATAGGCATCATAAGTTTCAGGCACAATATGGATGTTTCCATTTCTTACTTAATCCCTTTTATGGATACATTCCTTAACTGTAGAGCTATTGGTTTCACAAATATATTAATTTTATTTTCATTTTATGTACATTTTTACTGTTCATGCAAAATCAAATTTTTTATTTCTATAAATTAAGAAAGGTTACAAAGTTATTATTTACTTCAAATCTTACAAACAAAATTAACCTTAAGAGTTTGATGACAAATCTGAATGGGGATCTGCCTTGGAATGAAGAATGTGCATAAAATATATTTTGCATATAAAGAGTTTATTCATATCTATATAAAGAAAGATCCTCTGGGGATGTATAGACAATTGATATGAATAAACAAAACTCAAGAAGAAAAAGAAATAATTACATGGAAATATTTCTTCCACGCTAATAACAAAAAATAAATACAACCCTCCTTTAAGTATTATTTAACTCTTTTTGAAATCTAAATTATTCTAAAATAAGCATTATTACTGAATAGTGGTAAATTTGGTTTAAAACTGCCATATTTACATATGACTAAAATTTTTGTAAATGTAAATGATCTTTTAAAAGAGTGGTGAGGCAAGAAGGTGTCAGCAGATAGAAAGAATTTTAAAATAGTTTTCCTGTTACTGGTAGTTGAACATATGGTGAAGAATCCTAAAGAAACATCTCAAAAGAAAATAAATAAATTGTGGAAATATTTACTTTATCATCTATATTAGCAAAATATTGCCTTCCAAAGAAGAGGGGGAAAATTTTTAAAAAATTACATCATAGGAAAATGGTTACATGAATAAAATACGTATATTTGATGAGTTATTATGTAGCCCATCATTTTAAATCTAAAAATATTGATACAATTTTAAGGAGAATGTATAAGACCAAATGATAATGTACACAATGAATCAACTATGTGACATGGATATGTAGGTACAAAGACTCAAATTTCATATAAAAAAAGAAAGTATTTTTCTTATATTTGAGCAATGAGACAATATTTACCCCAATTCTTCCTAATATTATCACAATTTTTTATAATAAAAACAGGGAAAACATAAAGGGTATATTTCCAAACAAATTTTGAAATTCTTTCATATGATTTTCCTGTTGTTGCTTCTGTAAACTTTTCACATACTTTATAAACAGCTGATATTGCAGAGATGTGTTTCACTTCTCATGAGAATATACTTTTAATAGATTATACAAACTCAGAAGGTTTTACAGTCCCTTGTCAGTGCATTGACATTTGTTTGGAATTGTAACTTTATGTGAAGTTACTTTTTCTCTTAACTTTGTAAATGACATTTAAAGGCACATTTGAATTGTGCAGATCGTTCTCTGGCTACTATCAAAACTTCACATGTATCTGTTCTTTAACATTAGTAAAAACTGCAATAATAATTCAAGTAAAGAACTGAAGTAATCTAGTAAGTCTAATGAATGCCTTTGAGGCAAAATGGGAGCATTGAGGGTGAAATTTTTTGGTTCAGTTTCCTATTAATACACAATTCAGAGAAAAACCTCTTATTTCCCAATGTCTAACAGAGCTTTTTAAAATTTCCACATTAGTGAAATACAAACTTTTCCTGAGGTATAACACCAGATAAGAAACCCAGTCATTTTGCAAAAAATGTTGTCTTCCATTTACTTATGAAATTTCTTAAATTGTATTTATATATGTAATGGGCACCTGTTAAGTGCCAGAAACTTTCTGGTCATTGAACCAAAGAGATGAAAACTCCTGCATCCTGGATCTAACTTGTTGGTGGAAGGAGACAGACAATAGACAAGATAAATAAGGAAAAGTTATTTCAAATAAGATAGTGATAAGTTTTGGAAGAAAAATAAAAATCAAGCCCGGAAGGAGTAGAAAAAGTGAAAGAAGTAGGTTGTAATTTTAAATTTGAAGCTCAAAAAATGTCTGTCTGAAAACATGGTTTTAATCAGGACCCGAATGAGATGGGAAGGTGTTCAGAGGTTTTGAGCAGTGGAGTGACATGATCTGACTTATTTTGTAAGAGGAACACTCTAGAGGCAGTGTGGAGAATGAATGAATGAATAAATGAATAAATAAAATAGAAGGAGTGAGAATGAAGCAGAGAGACCATTTATGGAGCTAGTTCAGGTAAGAAAGACGGAGGAGCTCAAACTAGGATGGTAGTAGGGAAGGTGATGAGAAGCAGTCAGTTTCTGCATAGCTTTAAAACAAACCAACAAGATCTGATAATAGAGTAGATGTGGAGAATGAAATAGAGAAGACTCCTGGATTTGGGCCGTATAGAAAATTCAAGTAGTGATGTTAGGCAGTTACATATACAGGTCTGGAATTAAGGGGAGCGATCTGAGCAGGAGATACAGATATGAGTCATCAGCCTTACAGACTGTATTTAAATCAGACAAGCTAGTGAGAACAACAAGGGAGTACATAAAGATAGAAAGAGGACAAGAAGTGAGACCTGGCACAACCCAATGCTAATGAGTTGGGAGAGGAAGAAGAATAAGCAGGGAAAAATAAAACTCTACTCAATGTACTATCATAATGCAAATCTTCAGTATCTCTTCTCAACAGAAAAGCATGAGTATGACCAGATTTCTGGCATACATTCAAGGCCTTTCATTTTTATACATTTACTGTTTCTTGATCTCTCAAGAATCTGCTTCTGTCTCTATTATACAATTAAAACAGCTCAAATTTCATGTAGCAAGTTATGAACATCTTTGCATGCCTTGAAATTCTTTTTTCTTTTCCATGGTCCCGACTTGTTCTACCACAGCAGGACAGGTTCTTCCTTATCTTAAATACTAATTCTTCTTCCTTTACTTGCCCATTAAGTGCTCTCGAGTTTATGTCCTTCATATTTTTTCGTGAAAAATATTTTGTTTGATTATTTTTCCTATTTATTAAGTGCTACATTTTGATGATTGTTTATCAATTCTTTTCATTTCCTTCTCTTTCTTAATACCTCTTGGTTTCTGCCTTTAATTGCCAATCCCACTGCTACTAGCCAAGATGACTGGCTGGGGTAGAGAAAAATGAACTGAAATCAAAAAATTGGGGATAGAGTGGAAGGAGTGGCTCTGAGAAAGTCAGGAGTTGCTGTGCAATCAGATATGGGTCTACCTGGGGGTGAGATTGGTCTGTAATGAACCCTTGAACTCTGGTTAAGTGACCATGCTTTGCTACCATCTCTATATTGCCTTTATATCTGGCTCTATCATGTATGTCTCACTACACAAAAAATAGAAACAAATTATAAATGATTATAATAAACATGATAAAAATGGATGATATGCCAACATCGAAAAATCTGGAAAAATAAAAGTTAGGTTGATGTGGAAAATACAACTTGTACTAGTTGTAGTACACAAAAAAATTATTCTGAGGCATGGGAGCTGAACTGAATATATTGGCTTTGTCAGTACGTATGCAGTAGTTCAAGCTGTGGAAATAAATGAGATTCTCAGAAAGAATATGAAAACTGAGAACAAAAGAAAGTAATGACAGAAAATGCTAGTAATCCTATGACAACACCATCTATATTAATCAATCCCTGTTATACACTGTCCCCATAATCAAGCTAAACTTTCCATGGTGCACTGAGGGCAATGTTTTTCATTTTTCCTTCCACTCAACAGACTTTAGTGTCCACCTTCCTTCCAGTGCTCTAGACCTGTCAGGGTTTTTATATAGCTGGTATACGGTTAGTTAGGGTAATCTACTTGAGGACATTTATTAGAGTTTTTTCTTTTTTTAAATTTTAACAAATTTACACAAAGAAATCATAGTTTGAAATGCAATAACCTACAAAATTTTTATTATCATCTATACAAGTCCAAAACAGATAGCTCAAAGCTTAGAGGCCTAAAGAAAAACATATTTGAGCTTGACCTCTTTTTCAAGTGAAAAGGAAATAATCAAAATATTTAATGGACACATAAATATTTTGTTTCTAGTAGTATAAACCAGGTCACTACCGCCAAAGCAAAGAATAATTTTTAAATTTAATTTGTGTAGGTACATTTTCTTCATTATTTTTTTTAACATTTCTTAAAGTGAAAGACCATATTTCATGATCATTTGGGGTATTGAGGCAGTTGTGCATCAATTGTTTCTTGGTGAGAAATGTAGCGATATGGTTATTTAAGAGCGTTCCCTCCTATCTCTATCAGGATCTGATGTTTAAATTATATTGCGGTATTAGCTAAAATAATAAAAATAAAACAGGAATCCAGATAGATGTTTTCAAAGTGCCCAGCCTCTTCATGTTTGCTTTTGTTTCTTTTGCTTTTGGTGTCAGATTCAAAAAATCATCGCTGAGATCTATGGCGAAGGACTTACCTCCTATATTGTTTCAGGTCTTAGATTCAAATCTTAAATCCATTTAAGGTAATTTTTGTGTATGGTGTATGGGTGCCAATATAGGTTCATCTTCAATATTCTCTTTTGGGTAGGTCGTAAAAGCCAGATCAATTTATGCAATTAAAATGAAAGAATAAATGGTGAGTAGGATGCCCCCAGCTACATGGTTCTCTGCCCTCTTCTGCTGGGCCCTCTACCCGGAGCTCCCATTTCCACAGTGCTGATCCCAGTTCCCATGTTCCTCATGTCTTCATGCCCTGAAATATTTTCACCCTAAACACCTATGAATTTTTTCAAAACTTTGATAAAATATTCTATTTTTTGTGTTCCCACCATAACTACCCACTTTCCTAAAAGAATTAATCACTCCATTTTGGACTATGCCTGTGCTTTGTATGTAAATATATCACACTGGTGATAATTTATAAAGAGTTTAGTCTTTTGTATTAGTGCATAAGATCTTTGGTGGTTGGCAATATTTTATACACATTGATTTTGGCATTTAGCGACATGCAAAGTGCTTGATAAAATAGTACGTAATAGGAATTTGTAGAACTGGCCTAATGAAGAAATAGGTTTTTCCATCTTAATGCCATTGATTAAAAATATCTCAATACTTACCATCTACTTTTTTTTTTTAATCAAGTGGCATCTAGTATTCTCGAGCCATGTTTAAAAAAAGTAGAATTCTTTTTCCCAAGAGAAGATCTTTGAGCCAGACACTCCCTGTGGATTCTAAATTGCAAATTTATTTGAAAGTACAAGTAGTGCTTCCAAGCAAGCACATGGCTAAAAATAATATTCATTTTGATTTACTGAGGACAAGATTAAATCACTAGATTATCATTCTGTATTTGCCACTCTCTTTTCTCTTTAAAATAATAAGATGTTTAAGTTTTCTGTAAGAAGTATTCAGATATGCTTAACAAAGGTCTAAACATATTTAAAGGGCTAAACACACAGGGAGTGATTTGAGAAATATCCCAAAAAACAGTTCGAGGAATCTGTATTGTTTGCTGACGCTCATTAGAAAAAAGAATTTTTAGTGAAAATAAATCTCCATTAAAGGCATGTTAACAATCAGATTGCCCATGACAAATCTCACAGAGAGAAAGTTCCTGACTTTCTATCTACATTGGAAATGCAAGTTGAAGAGTGGTTCTCAAAGAGTGATCGGTGTGTGAAAATGTGTGAGGATAAAGTGTTTGATTTTTTTGTAGGAAGAAAGCAGTAATATAATGATTAGGAGACATTAATGACAATGGATGGCAATCAGGACTGATAAACATCCTATACAACTAAGATAGATTTTTACAAAAAAAATCGTCCCATTCAAAATGCTAGTAATGTGCCTTTGAGAACTACAAGGGGATGTGGCCATAGCTAGTTGCCAGTTGGACCTGACAAAATGAAAATGCATGCTGAATAGAAACAGGCTAGAGTGAGTGGCAGTGTCTCAACAGCTTAATATAGTCTTCCAGCCTTTAGATTTGGTTTACGTTCAAGGATGGTATAAAATAATAAGAGTGTAGAATAGGGGAAAAAAATCTGAATTAAGGACAAAATCTATTTACCAAGAAGTTCTCTATCAGAAGAAGCATGCCTTTTTTGTCCCATCTCCAAATATCCATCTTGTTCAAAACAACAGTAGCAAAAACTAATATATGAGACTAATACCTTACATAAAACAAATCAGATCATTCAGTCAACAAATCTTTATTAAGTATATTCTATATTCCAGGTTTCTTAGGCTCGGGTAATAAATACTTAGCAAAATCAGACATGATTCCTCCTCTTATGCACCTCACAATCTAGAGGGATTTATCCGATTCAAAAGGTTTCAACTTTTTACAAAAATATTCCCTTTGTGGAAGATTAAGTAATATAAGAGATTTCCTTTCTTTTTAAATGAAAATGGAGTCATACTAACTCAAATATTAGGACCAATATTTGATTATAGTTTAACACATTTTGAAGGGGCCAGCAAGCAGCCCGAAAAGAAATTTCTAGTTTCATAGCAGGTATATCTAAATGCATACTTTGTGAGCCTGTCCTTTATAAACTGAGTTCAAAGTTAAAAAGCTTTGCCACATAGTTCCCATTGCTTTGAACAATAGTTTATAATTTAGCTCAGCTTTATTGTTATTTCAGTTTTTAAAATTATTCCTGCATTTGTTTGCTTGGTAAGTAAAACTATCATTCAATTCAAATAATAGAGTGAATTAGAAGTGGGAAATGTTAGGAGAGACTAGATCTGAATTATCCAATTTGATTTCCTATATGATCAATTTTCCCAGGTAATTATTTAGTTCTTTTACTTGACTTCTGCCTAAGAAAAGAGGGTGTAAGTCCAATACATTCCCTCCTTCCCCTACTCCCTTCCTCCTCAGTAGCCAAATCATTTAAGAACACACTCCTTGGTTAGATCAACAGGATTTATGGAAACTAAGACCAAATTGTAGAATGACGCATGAACAAAAATTGTCATTGCAAACTCAGAATAAAGAATCTCCTTGGTAATGTTTAAAAGAATATAATTATAGGAGTCGAGTCACATCATTAATTGTCAATACCTTTCCCCAAAGCAGGATGAACGTTTGCATGTGAATGATTGTCCTTCATTTCCTGGTCGAGTTATGAATTTGGTGTCCTGGAGCTGCCAGTGCACTCAATTAAACTTTGGCTGTGCTAAATCCATAACTCAGCATTAAAGAAAATAAGAAATGGCCAGAAGATCTTGGCTTTATTCTAAATTTACAATCAAATGAACTGAACGATTTCCAAGAAAAAGTCATTTAATTTCTTTTCATGGAAAATATTCTTAAAATGTGGTTCGCAGACTGGAAACAGTAGCATCACTAGAGAACTTGTTGGAATTGTAAATTCTTGACCCCCCCAACCCCACCCTAAACATCAAAAACTCTAGAGGTGAGGCCCATCAATCTGTTTTTAATCAAGCCTTTTAAATGACTGTGATGCATCTTAAAAAGACATAAGTGTAGATTGTATCATAGAATATGGATTGTGCTTAAAAAGGTATAAGACATATTTGTGATGCTGCCAATGTACAATGAGAATCCCTGAAAAAACAGATAAATAAATACAAACAAGAAAAGAAAAGAAAAAAACTAAGATTTTCCTGTGACTCTTAATCTAGTGACTCGATGTGACCTTTTGAAAGTGATAAACAGATGCTTTGGCAAAAAAAAAAAAACTGGCTCATGAAGCTCCGATAAAAGATACAGGAAATATTTGCTTCAAATTTTGCACAATTATTTGTTCTAAGGGAAATTATTTTTTTCTTTTCAGCCAAACAGTTGTTTTTTGTTGCTTGGGAAAGTATTTTTTTTAGCTAAGAAAGAGAAGCTACTTCACTCTCAAAAAAACATATACCTACGCACGCAGATACGTGAGTGAGTTTTATGTAAGTGTATCTGTTACTATTAAAATTAAAACTTAAGAGTAGGAATAATATGTTGATATATATGGCAGATATATGTAAATTTAGCTAATGATATGTATTTCCTTGCTGAAATTGAATTTTAATTATAAAATTTATTTTGAACATTATGCCATTGGGTCCTAGCCATTTTTTATATAATTAGTATATTTTTCCATGTGTTTGACAGAAGTATGGAACAGTGGGAAAGCTTTCATAATCAACAAGAGGACACTGATATCTGTTCAGAATCTGTGAAGTTTGATGCTTGCTCAATGACAGCTTTGATACCTCTGAGTAAGTAGAAGAAAGGAAGGGTGACCAAGAAGGTTGTCCTTAGAGTTATTGACATTATATAAAATTATAATCTTAAGACTTACTTTAAATGGCTATGAATGTTAAAATGATACTTATTGGATAAATAGGTCTTCCCATCTCTTGAGAGAGAATACAAAATTAACTTAAATTGAAGTAAGAAAGCGTTACAATAGATTAAATTAATCCACAATATTGATTGAGTTCTCTGATTTCTCAGCCACTGGATTAGGTTCTGGAAATAGCTATGATCCTACAATTATAAATTAATTTTTGAAAATCATGGGTGGTAGGTGCTTGTATGAGTTTCCTAGGGATACTATTACAAATTACCACAAACCAGGTGGTTCAAAACAACCAACATTTATTCTGAAGGCCAGAAGTCTGAAGTCAAGGTGTGTTTGCAGGGCTGTGTGCTCTTTGAAGGCTCTAGAGGAGAATCTTTTCTTAGGTCTTTCTGGCTTCTAGTGGCTCCTGATAATCCTTAGCGCTGCCCCTTAGCCTGGAAATGTATCAACTCCAATCTATGCCTCCATCTTCACATGGTCTTCTCTTCCCGTGTCTCTGTGTCCTCTTCTTGTAAGGACGTCAATCATTGGATTACAGCATACTCTACTCCAGTATGACCTTATTTTAACTCGTTTATACCTGCAAAGACGCTATTGCCAAATAAGATCACAATGACAGATACCATTGTTAAGATTGTTCAGATTTCAACAATATCTTTCTGAGAAACACAATTCAATACATAACAGTGCTAAAACAGATGTTTGTACAGGTTACCACAAGACCTCAATAGCCATAGTGTTTGGCTGTTCCTGGACAGGTTCACTTAAGGCATCAGGATGGAGGTGCTTTAATTCTGCTAAGCCTTACATATATTTCACCAGGGGGGACACAGTGGGTGGAGAGGAACTATAAAAATATTCAGTAAGAGGAAGCAGCTAATGTAAAGTTACAGAATCTTGTATACATTCTTACATAGACAAACCTTAAATACAGACCACAATGCCAACACATGATGGATCTTGTGTGCTGTGCTGCCGGTGATGGATGTGGCACCAGAGAGACAGAAAGAAAAAAGGTAATAATAAAAGCTTTTAAAAGTAGAGATGTTGAAAGATTGAGGGAGGAGGACAGAGGCATTGTGGACAGAGAAAAGGCAAAACAAAACAAAACAAAACACATTTTGAGAGCTATTTAAAAGGCAGCATACAGATAATTTGTGATTTTAAATTGGAGATAAGGGAGAAGATGACTCCTGGGTTTCAGGCTTAGTCAACCTGGCAGATGGAATATCCTATCTTGCTTATATTATGGGAGTTTTTTTTTTCTTTTTCCTTAGACCTTTCATTCTTTTTTTTTTTCCTTTACTTTTCGCTTTATTTCTTAAAATTTTCTCTCCTTTTCCTTTCATTCTCAAATAGAACATAATTGAACAATATCTGAACTTCTGTTTTTAATTTAGGACTTTACAACATGAAAACAAAATTTACTTTTTTTTTTATTGAACAATAAGAACAATGACCACAGGGGATGGGGAAATGATAGATGTTTTATTCACCTAATCAGAGAAATGTCTTCCTCTTCTACTAAGATTCCTTCTACATCAAATTATCTTTTCCACAATTAGCATCCATTATGTGAATTGCTTTTAATTATAAATGGATAGTACTAAAATGTTAATATGTTCTGAAATATCCAGAGGGTGGACTTCATTGATCCAAAGTTTAGTCAAAAGATGAATAATTTTGTTTATTTCTTTTTTATATTGTATTCAAATATAAGAAATATCCAAATATAAAGTTATTGAGATATACTTAGAAAAGAAAATTTATATAATTATCATTGAAAATAAATTTTTTTATCTTACTTAAAATCAGAAAAAATCATAATTATATAGTTACTTGAGAAATTTTATTTTTACTTTGAATATATCTACAGATGAAACAAAAAAATAAAATTTATGTTTGCATATTTTGGTATAAATATTAAAATTTGCCAACTAATGCCCTCAAATGAGATAAGTACAACTTGTAGAAGATAGTCATTTTTTCATGGCTATTTAGTTAATGGAGAAGTAAATCAAATGTTCATAGTGACCTCTGTTTTGGCTTTTTCTGTGATTGTTCCTTATGCTTCCTACTGAATAAATGAGGACCTATTTTTTTTTTCCATTTTTATTCCAATGGGCTTGGCAGTAACAATATAATTGGACATTACAAAAATTATGATTAACTAAGAAGATTAAGTTTTCTAACAACAAGTTGGGCTTTTGTTTTCTTAGATCCTAAAAATGGCCTTGGCCTTCAAGAGAAACTGAAGTCCTTCAAAGCTGCGCTGATTGCTCTTTATCTCCTGGTGTTTATAATTCTCATACCTACCATCGGAATAGTGGCAGGTAGAGTATTCTAGAGTTCTAAAGCCCAGCAACTTACCCTGTAGATTAGTTATTGTAGAAGCAAAAAGAAACATTCGGGTTTTTTTTTCTTGGCATATGAGAGTCATAAGGGAAACTTTATGTCATAAAGTGTTCTTCAAATTTATTAAATAAAAATATATTGTTATTAAGTGGAAAATAGTAAAAAGAAATAGAATACGAAATATAAGATTAAGATAAAAATATAGATATGTGAAGGTTAAGATGGAGATTAGACCATTTCAAAAATATGTTATTCCCCGAAGTCCTATAGACATCTCGTAGTTGATTACGAATTTCATGATATTCTAGTTGCCAATGTGAAGAAATTAACATGATCATTTACATTAACAATACCTAAAATATAAAAACAAGCCAGTTGTTCAGGTAAAGTTTTTCTACCGTTAGTATTAAGAGCAGAAAGAAATGTCTTCAAAAAGAAACCTTATAAAATAATGGCCTATACTTCAGTAATATCTTTACAGTTTATATGGCCACATGTTTCACAAGGCCATTATTTAAAACATCTCTAAAAATAACTTGATAGCATTTCCTTAAGAAAAAAAAAACACTTTACTTGAGCTCAATATGATGTCAGATACATATTCCTTTGGAGAGTGTGATTTGAAATAGTGATAGAATTGAAGGTTTTCACAGGGGTGACTTGCATATAACAGTCAAATCTGTAAATATTATTCCCTTCTGTAACATTTTTGATGAATTTAATTGGCATTTAAATTTATATACCTTGTAGCTCTTCTCTGTGACTGGCAACATGTCTGGATATATGCTCTAACAAGTGATAGGCTGAGAGTAAGATACATTTTTATGTGCACACTAATCAGCGTAACAAGTAAATGCTCCTAAATACAAGGACAAACTTCCTCTGCTAAGAGGCAACCTACAGGAATATTCTAAGACAGAGCCAGCATTCTGCTAAGAAAGAAATGATGATAATACAACAATTGTAACAATAGCTATAATTTTTGAGCATTTACTATGTTCAAGCACTGGGCTATAAATTTTCCATAGATTATCTTAATACACCTTTACAGTTACACCTGAGCAGACATGTGCTTATCCTCATTATCCATACATACACATACACAAAAACAGCCAAACTGAGACTGTTCAGTAGTGGAGCTGGAGTTCTCATCCATAACTTTTGACTTCTAACCTCTATGGTCCACTATCTCCCAGTGTAATTGGATTTTTAGAAAAAAATATGGTTGACCAAGAACAAACGACAAACAGAATTGCCATAATTTTAGCCAGGTAAAAATCAATTCCTATTTTGGCCATTAAAAGCAAACGAAAACAAAACCTAACCACAACATACTAAACCAATCAACAAATCAAACCAACTACAGCCATCTGAATGAAAAAACCTGATGTATCTGTCATTAAACTAACTTCCTGATGAACTGAGGTTATCTGCATGTTGTTTATGTATCATGCTCATCTACAGTTTAAAGTGCAAAACTGAAAGATGCTTTATTATTTGGAATTATTAGCTATAAGCAAGTTCAAATTTGAGTAAATTTCATCACCTTCACAAACCATAGCCTCTAAAGCCAACCCAAGGAAGTGCGACTTCTTTCTAATAAGCTCGTGCAGAACGTAGACTCGAGTCTGAAAACAATTTAGTGTTCTACCCAAGTTTAAAACCTCTGGGCTATTAGAAAATGTGATCAAGTCAACATATTTATTCTAGGATTGACAATGATTAATCTGAAGTGGTTTTGTTTCCAAAAAATACAACAGATACCTATTAATATTGACAAGAAGTTAAAAATGTTCAAATCTTTTAAGTTTATATTAGCACCCAAATTCACCAGAATTTGGAATAGATCTTATTATGTCTATTATACTTGAATAATAAACAATTGACAATTCATTTAAAACTTAAGTTGTAGATCAGAATATTTTTCAAAAAAAAAAAGGAACTAAAACATAATGCATAACTATTTAGTATAAAAAATTACAATTATAGACAAAATATAGCCTTAAGTGTTTTAGCAAATATGAATTGATGGATGAAGTCAAATATTGTACATAAAAACCAATTTAAAGTGTTTTATACATTAAAAGATATTTCTTAATTATAAAATGTCCATATGTGACCTCTATTTTATTTTATTTATTTTATTTTTTATTTTTTTAATTAAATTTATTGAGGTGACATTGGTTAATAAAATTATATAGGTTTCAGTGTACTGTTTAGTATTATATCTATGTATATTGTATTGTGTGTATACCAAAATTAAGTTTCTTTTTCTAACCTTATATTTGACCCCCCTTTATCTTGACATACCTCTCTCCCTCCCCTTTTTCCTTGTGGTAACCACTAAACTATTGTCTGTTTTCATGAGTCTCTGTTTGTTTGTCTTGTTTGTTTGCTGCTTTCAGTTTTATATCCCATGTATAAGTGAAATCTTATGATTCTCAACTCTTTCTGTCTGCCTTATTTCACCTAGCATAATAATCTCTAGATCCATTTGTGTTGTCACAAATGACAGTATTTCACTTAATATTCCAGTGTACATATGTACCACATCTTCTTTATCCAATCATCTATTGAAGGGCATTTTAATTGTTTTCATGTCTTGGCCACTATGAATAATGCTGCAATGAACATTGGTGTGTATATATCTTTACAAATAAATGTTTTCAAATTTTTTTGGTAGGTACCCAAAAGAGGGATTGCTGGGTCATATGGTAATTCTATTCTTAATTTTTTGAGGACCCTCCATATTGTTTTCCATAGTGACTGTACAACTTTACATTCCCATCAGCAGTGTATGAGGGTTCATTTTCCCCCCACAATGTCTCCAACACTTGTTATTACTTGTCTTGTTGATGACAGCCATTCTAACAGGTGTGAGGTGGTATCTCATTGTGGTTTTGATTTGCATTTCCCTAATAGCTAGTGAAGTTGAGCATCTTTTCATATATCTGTTGGCCATTTGTATGTCTTCTTGGGAGAAATGTCAGTTCATGTTCTCTGCCCAATTTCTAATTGGATTGTTTATTTTTTGTTGTTGTTGTTGAGTCGTATGAGATCTTTCTGTATTTTTCATATTAGCCCCATATCAGGGGAGTTGCTTACAAATACCTTCTCCTGTTTAGTTGATTGCCTCTTTGTTTTGTTGATGGTTTCTTTTTTGGTGCAAAAGATTTTTCATGTGATCTTTTCTTAAAGAAGCTACTGGATCACTGTAGTAATATAACAACATACTAAGGTCTCTGGACAATAAAGTATAATCTAGTATTAATGTATATAAATTGTTACTGAAATAGTGAAGATTCTTTAGCTCAAAATAATATAAATTTTCGGTAGGACGAGATACTATCAACATGAAAGAGTAAATGTGATCTGTAGAATCAAATATAGCTCTTTCACTAGGTCTATGCTTACCGAGATTTATGATACAGACTTAAACATGTTTAAAGAAAGTAAGGATTAAAATAGTGTTTATTCAGAATTTGAGACAAGTGATGTTGTGTTTTTAAATATATAAGCAAAATGCAGCCTTTATTATCAATTTATGTTGAACTTGATGTTGAATAAAAACGCTTGGTCATATGACATTTTGTCAAGTGAGGTATTCTCTTTCATACTGTGAAAAAGAGTTGTTTTACCCATGTAAAATAGAAAGTGTTTCTAGTGAAAATAAAATTATATGGTTGAGAAATTAGATCAATTTGCCTAGTAAAATAAAGCACAGAGACTACAGTGTTCATCAGAATACTCAACTTATCCCCAGTTTTTTATACTACACAATATTAATTTGCCCTGGTTATTGATATTGGGCATATAGATACTGAATCCAAAATATTAATAACAAAAAAGCTGAAAGTTATCAAATGCTTATTATATGCCAGAAAGTGATCTAAGCACTTTACACATGTTAGTCCATTTAATTATTTAAACATTGACTATTGTATCCATTTATACAAAAGTGAAATAGAAGCATTGACAGATTAACCTGCCCAAGGCCACAGTTTATAAAGGAAAGACTAAGAATTGCTAACTTGGACAGTTCTAATACAGAACCTGAATTCTTAACTGTTAACTAAAAGTAGCAATAATCATCATCATAAAAGGAAAAATTTTAAGGGACAACTTGAAGATAATTTTGTAAGAGTTGTTAATTTGGGTTTCTGATTTTTAAAATCAAAATCCATATTAAATCAGTCTTATATTCCCAGAGTTGCTTAAACAGTGCTTTATATATCATAGGTGCTAAATAAGTAAATCATAGAATTGATGAATGGATGAATGAGCCTGTCAATCTAAAACTTGCTCCTCACACATAACTGAATAAATGTGATGAAATCTAACTCAAAAACATACTTTTTTGCCCAATTTATTGATAAATTAAGTATAAATTAATACACTCTCAATATGGTCTCTGTTGTGGATCATATCAAAATGTAGTCTCACATATTTTATTAATTCAAATATGCTAATTCTAAAGAGAATGTAACTAGGAAAATACGATATAAAGTGTTTTTTAAAATTGAAATTTAATTGCATATATACTTTATAATGATTGTAATAGCAACCATCATCAATTTCTTTAAGTAAAGGTGGTAAAAATAGTTTTCTCTATAACTAAGATAACATCTTTCATGGAAAAGACACTTAAATTTGAATAGAATTTTCATATGTGCCATCTGTGTGCTTCAGGATTTAACATGCCTTATCTTATTCATCCTCAGCACCACCGTTGAGGTAATTACTACTTTTAGATCTTTAAGGAAACCTAAGCAAGAAGATAAGTAATTTGTCCAGAGTAACCCAGTTGATAATGAGGGGTACAGCTAGATTCCAGAATGACAGCTCGATTCTTTTTTTAAAAATCAATCAATTAATTAATTATTTTATGGTGACATTGGTTAATGAAATCCAATAAATTTCAACTGTACACTTTAACAGTAAGGCATATATACTTTACATTGCGTGTTCACCTCCCATAGTTAGATTTCTTATGTAACAGATACCTAAGCTAAGGGTGCGAACTAAATGTTTTTCATGTGTTATCTCATTTAATTTTCAAAAGCTGATAAAGCTGGTAGTATTGCAATATCATTCTTACTCAAAAAACTTACAGATTAGGTATAAATGATTATGTAGATATATTTTTAAACTATATGAAGTTATTCTTTTTTATTGCTTAATAGTGGTCAAATATGGAAAATCTTATACATTCAAACAAATGTAAATAAGAGACTGATATATATGTAGATAAAAGGTATAAATAACAGAGATAAATATTAGATTTGGAAATACAACAAAATCTTAACCTTCACTGATTAGTGATAAATAATGTTTAACATTTTCTTCATTGTGCATAATTATGTATTATTTTTATCTGCAAAGTTAATGTTTATGGTTTTCATTTTTTTAAACTGTAAATATATTGCTCTAGTTCTTTTCAGGAGGATAATTAGCTTGTTTAGAGAGCATATGCCTCTTCGGAAATATATGTCAGAAGTTCTGTATGTCCCCAAAATACCATTTAATCGAATTCTTTTCTTTAGGAAAAAACACAAGACTTTATCAAAACTTTATTAAATATATTAGTGAAAACAGAAGCAAACTATATGTAGAGGTATTGTTAAATAAATCTGGTAGATCCATGCATAGCATATAATGTAATTACTAAAATTATTTTTGTAAAACAATACCAAATAATATGCAAATCTTTATAATATAATATTAACCAAAAAGTAGTTTCCAGATTGTGCATAAAATATAATTTTGCTTTTGTAATAATAATATGATAATAAAGACAGGGATAGAGTTGATATATATAGATATACCAAAATGCTAGCATTTAACTCAGGACAAAGAGATTAATGGTAAAATTACTTTTCCTTATTATTCATCTTTTCTAAATTTTCTGCTTTGAATATATATTTTATGATAGGAAAAGAGTAATTTTATAAAAACAATATTTTTAAAGTAAAAAAATTATTTGTCCAGTTTTCTGTACCACTATTATTTAGGCCTGCATGAACTGAAAATGACAATTCTCTGACCACTTAGTAACAGGGTGAGGAAAATGGACCAACAACTTACTTTAACGGTGGATAACACTAATACCTCTACTTTTACTACATGTTTTTTTGTCATCATTCTCATTTATCTTGATAACAGCTAACATATTCAACATGTTAATTTCAGATGTTGTGTTAAGCATTATGTTCTTTTATCCTAACGACAGACCCAAGGACTAGGATACTATGCGCTTTATAATTTGTAGAACTTATCTTAATGGAAAAGCCAAATGCAGTGCTCCAGAAGATTCATATAAGCAGCAATTCAGAAAGAATGACTTAATCTTGGAATAAATTTTAATGTAAAGTGGGAAGAGGAGACTGTCATCTTCTCAGCAATATGCCTACTGTGGCTTATATATCTTATACTTAAAATAAATATCTGATTTAGGATAGCATTTAAAATGTTAGAATGGAATGGAATGAAATGACATGTAATACAGTAATACGGAATGAAATGGTGTATGCATTTAACAAGACAGGTCATGACTCTGTTTATTTTCACTTAAATATACAGCTCAACTCCTAAAGTGGGAAATGAAGAATTGCACAGTTGGTTCAATTTATGCCAATGAAATATCTCAAAGTCTCCTGGGAAAAAGAAATGACAGTGAAGATAAAATAAAATTTCAAGAAGTTATGGAAAACATGGGCAACATGGAGAAGAGAATTCAGTATATTTCAGATATACAAGCCAATTTCATAGATTCAGAACATTTCCAGAATTTCAGTGACATGACTGATCAGAGATTTAATGATGTTATTCTCCAGCTGAGTACCTTGGTTTACTCAGTCCGGGAACATGGAAATGCAATAGATGAAATCTCCAAGTCATTAATAAGTCTGAATACCACATTGCTTGCTTTGCAGCTCAATATTGAAACACTGAATAACAAAGTCCAAGAGAATACATTTAAACAACAAAAGGTAAGAATGTTTGTACTGAAAGATCACATGCTGGCATTGAGTTCATTTCGATCCTATCTCCTCAGACAATCAGGAAAAAAACATTGCAGACAATCAGGAAAAAAACATTACAAAAACAGACTTTAGCTCATGAATCAAAATTTTCTTCTGTTCTAGATTATTCTGTGGTCAACTCTCTGGATTACTTTGTATTGATGAGAATGAAATTAAGAAGCAGGTCACTTATTTCAAAATTGTATTTCATGGGGGCGGGAGGGGTTGAGTAATTATACTTGTTCTTTTCCATGAAAAACATAACTAAAACTTCACTACTCATATGAAAATAATCTTCATATTATAAAATATTTAAAATCTAGGATCACAATGTGAAGCTATAAAATTTCCATCGTTAGCTAAAAAATGCTGGCATCATTTTAGTTAATTTTGCTTGAATAATCTCATTCTTAATTAATGAGGTTGTTTTCTATATGATACAATATTACACAGCAGTAATTTTAAAAAAATGGACGTCACTTATGGAAAGCAAAGAAAAGCCTCTAAAATTATAACATCTGATGAAATGGAACTAAAATATTGACTAGGGAATAAACAGGTTAATAAAGAATATCTTGTGCATTAATTATTTTAAGGTGCAATCACCCAGAATTTTTGAAGTTTACATGGTCCTTATCTTAAGGTGTCAGAAGACAATGACATTGCTCTTTAAATATGGGGACTCTGTTGTTGAATCTCATTTCAACCAACCTTTATATTCTATTTCGATTCCATGTCTAATTTTCCAAATTCTGACTGTTAATGTTTCCCACATGATTAATAAGTATCTAAGCACATCAAATGCTATTGGAATATCAAGGACTAGGGCTATGGAGGGGTTAGAGAAAATGCACAAAGAAGAAACTATGCATAAGAATTGAAGAATATGGGAGACAGAGAAAAATAAAATATCATTTACGAGTAGAAGTTAAGTTTGAAGGAAAGAAGAAGGCAGGGAAATATTACTTTGTGTAGAAACAGAATCAGAGGAGCAGTGAGACAGGGTTGGGAGAGAGAGAACATGAACAAAATGAAGGAATAATAATATATTTGATATTAATAATTCCCCAAATCTAGCAAGGACTATTGAATATCTATGAACACACATAAATGAGGGGTTGAAATCCAATTGGTAATATGGTAATAAATGGAAATAATCAAAATCTGGTGATCAATGAACTGTATGAGTTTGGATAGATTGCACTTGTATTTTGGAGGAGTCCTAGTTTTAGGCATGGCAGTACAAGAAAATGGAGGAACTGCCAGTGTTTATTTTTTTAAAGACAGTAGTGAGTTATAAAGATTTAGAATCTAGATAAGTGCAAATGTGTGTACGTGTGTGTGTGTGCGTGCGCACATGAGCTCACTGCAAACAATATTTGAATGCTCATCCCATGCTTAAACAATTTTATTCACATTTGAATCTTTAGCCAAATAAAGGAATACATAAAGTAAATGAATATGTGTGTTAGTAAATGATGTTTGAAGAAAAGGCTTAAAAGTAATACCAGTATAATACTAATCAAGAACAAACCAAACATTAATTTGAAAAAAGAGAAGAATATTGACACAAAATAAAAGAGAGTGGTAGAAATATATCATCTTCATTGCACACAGAAAGGACTGTAAGACTGCAAAATTAAATGCCTGTGTCCAGCAGAGCCGCTGATAGTTGGTAGACTATAGAAGGTGTGTGCGGATGCTGTTTGTATAGAATTAAAAAAAAAATCAAATGTACTTTTCCTCCTCCCAATATAAATTCTTTCAAGTGAAATGTGGCTACTGTGAGCACCACATGCAGTTTCCAAAGAGGGGAATTAAATGGCAGCCTCAGCTTTAGTTAAGAAAAACATTGGTGGTTTCTGGGTATTAATTAGCAAAATCACCTGCTAGTCCCCTGACCTCTGTTCTGTCGATATCTGGAACTACATGGCATACCTGCAGCAATTTGCAGTCACCTAAATTAAGTTGAGCATATTTATTATGTTGCTGTGCTCTACAAACATCTTTGTTCATGCTTCGCCTTTATACCATATTGTTTAAAAAACACCAAATAGGGGAAGAGGTGGTAGAGGGTAGAGATATTCAAATTTAGAACAAGGTTTTGGATGAAGGCACAGTTAGAGCAGTGAAAACTGATAAGCCTCTCTGCTTGAGCGCAGTGCCATTGAAGGCAAATCTGGATGTATGCTCATTTCTTTTAAAAAGTTTTACATCTTGACTTCCTTGACCTACTCACCTCAACTTGTCCAGTCCAGTCAAGGAAAGTGTAATGTTCTCTTCATACCTGAATTAAGAACAATACACCCCTGGTTTATTTCCATGTGCAAATAAGAAATGAGAATTTATCGCCAGTTAAACATAAAGTACTTAGTAAAGCATAAAACATACCACGAAGACAGAACATGTGATAAAAGTAGAACAAAGAAACAGAAGACACCAGAATAGATGAGAAGGTTTGGTGCATCCGAAAGAGAAAAGCCAATACCCAAAGGAAAACCAAGCGAAAGACTTAAAGAAAACGTAATAAAGAAAAATATCGTCAAAACTTTATGACTGGATACCTAACCTTATCACAGCTCTAAAAGCAAATCAAATAACAAAAATTTATTATGTCTACTCTTACTCTGCAAACTTAAATATATTGATGGTATCTAGTATTTTGGTGCAAAACATAGGCACTAAAGTACAATTAATAAGATTTAAAAAATGGTACCATATATTTGGAGGGCAGTGTGTCAGTATTGAACAAAAATGTTAATACTTAGTCCTTTTGATCAGATCCACTTTCAGGAAACTGTCCTAAAGAAGCACTTATTTAAATATTTAAATATATATATATATATTTATAATATGCCATTCATTACAGCATTATTTAAAGTTGTAAAAAATGTACAGCTCAAAACTCTATCAATAGAAATCAAATACATTATGAAAATACATAAAATTTACTAAATTATTAAAAATAAGACAACCTCTAACTATTTTAATAGGTAAATATACCCTTAATATATTATTGAGTAAAAAGTAAAAGCATATTCCAGATCAAACAAGTATAATCTCTTTTGCTCACAATCTCTCTAGATGCATGCATGTATATAAATACACATAAAATATATATATATTTGAAAACATAAAGTCATAATGAAACCTCAAATATAGAGGAATAAAAATGGAAAGTAAGCTATTGTTAATATACTAGTTGAGATTTTATTGAATTTGAAAAGCTATCTTGAATCTTCATTACCACTGGGAAATATGGCATCAAACTTTGTTATTGCTATAAAACAATTTAATATACAAATATATCAAATTCATAGAATTGGAATACTATGTTTCTACTCTAAGCACAGCATAAATAAATTTTACTTCAGATAAATTTAAAAACATACCAGAAGATTTTTTTTTTTAAATTAGTATTTTGACATCTATATATTTGGGAATAGAAGCGTACCTATCTATACTCATTAGTTGGGGGCGGGGAGCCGAGGATGTGAAAATTCAGCCATTCAGTCAAAAGAGGAAATGTTTTAAAACCAAAGAATTACTGTTTTAAAAGAGTTCTCTAATTTCCACATTATTATTCCATAATATTCATACAATACTATGTTATTTTAAAACCTGGTTTTCAGGGTTTCCTAAATGTAATACTTGATAATTTAGTGTGTAACAAAAATTATGGATGCTTGCTATGTTTCACAGGAAATGAATAAATTAGAGGAGCGTGTGTACAATGCATCAGCAGAAATTATGTCTCTGAAAGAAAAACAAGTGCATTTGGAACAGGAAATGAAAGGAGAAGTGAAACTATTGAACAACATCACTAATGATCTCAGACTGAAAGATTGGGAACATTCTCAGACATTGAAAAATATCACTTTAATTCAAGGTAAAATATCTTTTTATTCCTCCAGAAAATGATATATTAAAATGTGCTGATATATGCAGAAATTTAGTATTCAAAATCCTACAGTTTAAAACAGCACACATTTACTACAAATATCTAGAGGAAGGAATCTTGAGATCATACTAAGATATGGTAAGATAACAGTATCTTGGTGTTTTTTAAAAAGGAAGGGATAAAAAAAATGAAATATCCCTTAAGGTCTAATGAGTCATTGTTTCAAATATTTCCTATTACTGAAGACTAATACAAGTTTTCTGTGAGGCACAAAGTTCTCTACCTGTCCATAAACCGAACTCTTTTTTAAAACTTCCAGATTCTTTCTTACTTCTTACCCTATTGTATTATTAATTAGAAAAGTCTTTGAACTCTTTAATATAACCATAACTTTGTCAATTTTTCAGTTGTTTGTAAAACAAGGTAAATCGAATCTTATTGATTTTTATTTTATTTTTTATTGTTTAATTATAGTTGACATTTCATATTGTTTTATATTTGTTACAGGTGTACAGTATAGTGGTTAGACATTTATATAATTTATAAAGTGACCCCCCAATTAGTCTAGTACCCACTTGGCACTATACATAGTTATTATAATATTTACATCCCCTTGACTATTTCCTGACTACCAATTTGTACTTCTTAATCCCTTCACCTTTTCCACTCAGTTCCCCCATCCCATCCTCCTATCTGGAAACCCATCAGTTTGTTCTCTGTATCTGTGTCTGTTTCTGTTTGGTTTATTTGTTTTGTTATTTATATTTCACACGTAAGTTAAATCATTTGGTATTTGTCTTTCTCTGTTTGATTTCTTTTAATTAGCAATAATACTCTAGGTTCATCCATATTGTCGCAAATGGTAAGATTTGTTTTGTGTGAGTGTGTGTGTTGGTGCCTGAATAATATTTCATTGTATATATGTACATCTTCTTTATCCAATCATCTACTGATGGACACTTAAATTGCTTCCATATCTTGGCTATTTAGTAAATAGTGTTGCAGTAAACACAGGAGTGTGTCTACCTTTTCAAATCGGTGTTTTTGATTTCTTCAGATAAATATCCAGGAGTGGAATTGCTGGGTCATAAGGTAGTTCTATTTTTAATTTTTTGTGGAACCTCTAAACAGTTTTCCCTAGCAGCTGCTGGGAAGGGAAACAAAAGGAAAATGAAATGGGACTACATCAAACTAAAAAGTTTTGCACAACAAAGGCAAGCATCAACAAAACAAAAAAGACAACCTTCTGAATGCGAGAAGGTGTTTGCCAACGATATGTCTGATAAGACTTTAATATTTTAAATACTCTTTCTTCTTCAATTGTATCTGAAAATATCTATTATTGACTGCTCATCTAATATGTGACCTCTTACATGAAGTCTTCTCCAGTTCCACCACAGTAATACTCTTGCCGACCTTTATATCTTGCTTAATATTGAACATTAAGTATTCTTTCACAAAATAATTCTTAATATGATTGGCATATCTAAAAACATCTCATACTATCTTTTAGTGAAATGTCGCATCTTCTTTGAAACAATAAGTTCCTTAAAATCAGGAACTATTTTTATATTCTCTGTAGCATCTAACCATTGCAATAAGATTTTAATAAATATTTATTAAACTATAGCCCAAGAGACATATTGTGTAAATTAATGCGGGCTTTGTCATTTGTGGCTTGTAAAATCAGCATCATTACTTTGTGTTCCTTCTATTTATATTAACAATTTCCAAGTAGTCATGAAGATAAAAGAGACAAAGATATTTTAATGTATTTCTCAAGTAATTATAGTAATTAGAGTCTAGAGGACCAAATTGTTGAAATGGTGAAACGGTTTGTTGGAGAGTATGTTCTACTGAGCAGTCTTTAAGGCTGCTTTCGTATTAAATATATCTAAGTCAGTGAGCATGAAAACTCAAAGAAGAAGGGAAAAAAATGAGTAAGTTTAAGCAGAAATAGCCTAGACAATTTGGCAGATTTTTTATGATCTAAATATGAGGCAAGATTGAGAACAATGTAAAAAAAATTATGATCTTATAGAATAAGCCTTGAAGCATAGCTCTGAAAATTTAGGCAGATATTATTAGTGCTATGTTATCATCTGAAGATTTTAGTATATGTGCTGCCCATATGAGCATGTCATCTGAGGATTTTAAATAATATGATATGCCTGGGTTTGCTTTGCCAGTAAACTGGATAATTTTGATCAGATATTTATGATTACTAAGTATTCTAAATCAGTACACTTCTTGGGGCTATATAGAAATCTTAGTTTTCCTTCAAATAAAATAATCATAGGGAGGAAGCTAAATAGAAGATTTTGTATGTCTGTTTTATAGAAGGAATTGTTCATGGAAAATTTTTGCTATAGCATTTATGAATTATTCCTATAACTACAGTTAGGAGGTATTAAAGATGAAGAAAAAATAGTGTGAAGTCTTATGGCTTCTTGAAATAAAACAAATCATACATTTTGGCCAGTATTAATTTAGTTTTCTTTGACATATGTTAGCAAGGGAATTGACAGTTACTATTATGTCCATTTATTGATGCACAGAGGTGGTTATTGATGTGAATATAGAACAGAATTTTGAGAGGCTAAATAGAACTCAGAACAAAGAAGGCAACTGCAATAGACTCTAAGTATCCTGAAAGTTCTTCATTCTTTTTTCCATAGCATAGCAGAATAGCTTGCTACATTCCTTTATGGTCGATGGACGTGTATATATATGTGTGTGTGT